CGACTCGCGCCTCCAATCCGGATCCCTCTCACACTCCCGTAGATCCGTTTCTTATCTTTCTGGTTCACCGATTTCACTCGGTTCCAGTCCCTGTGTGCATTTCACTCCAGGTGTTATTTCTCAAGGCCCTAGAAGCACGTACACTGCCGCTTCACCGAGCAGAGCGCCTAAGCTCTGATTCCCATGCTTGCAGATATCAGGCCTTCCCTTCACAGGTCCTCCTTCATTAACCCCATGTTATCTGAGCAAACTGTGGACGCCTATCTATGGTCGAATGCTGCATCTTAAGTGGATTTCCTGTACATTTTCCCCATAACACCGAATTTTCGTGACAGTTTGCTTATCCGTCTGCCCAGCTCGCTGACTGCCAGGCCCCCAAAGTTGTACTGATTTATACGAAATGGACATCACTCGTCTTCGCTTTATTACCGAAAACCTCTGCCCTGAACTTTTTTTATCGCTATCCATTTTCCTCCGGTTAACGGTAGATCATTGATCCAGGAGTCTCCTTTTTGCTGGTCTTGCTCCATTCTTGTTTTCTTTGAGCAGTAGGCAAAGTTATCACTTACTCTACCTTCCTCCAATCTCCTGTTCATTAGATTTTTCTCTCCAAGGATGTTAATGTCCTCCCAATCTTCCGCTTCCCTGTGTCGCCACCGTATGGGGCTCTTTTTAATTTCGCCTTCCAATTGATCTGGTGTTCACTCTGGGCGATGTGCTCCGCTAGTTCTGATCTTTCGGCATCCATTTTTCTACAGAGCCTCTGATGTTCCTTGATTCGTGGGCTAATTTTTTTTCCTGTTTCGCCAATATATTTCTGCTCGCACGTACCTCATGATATACAGTAAACTCCTGAACAATCCATTTTGCCTACTCTTTTATATTGCGTCTGTAGACTTGTGAAAAATGTTGATATCTTTTTCATGGCTACCCGAACATTCCATTTCCTCAATATTGGCCATAGTTTTTAAGTTAGTTCGCAGTAAGGTAGGCATATCCACTTTTGTGAATCCTTCATCGTCCTTACTGTTCTTTCATAGTCCCCGTTCTTCCATCGGCTTTTCACGGCCCCTATGTTTCTTTGTATTACCTTGATTGGTTAGCCATTGCCGAGGAATATCCCTGTCAATTTGTCCAGCTCCTCGTCCCACAATTCTAGATCCGTTGGGCGTAGGCTTCGGATGATCATGCTCCTTATTATTCTTATCTTTAGCCTGTAATTATGATGGGACCGAAAATTGACTATTATCCCAGCATATGACTTCTTTATGAACGATTTCTTTTTGAGCGTCCCATTAGAGCGAATCACTTCAACATCCAGGAACGGTAAACGCTCACCTTCCCCTACTTCCATCGTGAATTGCATTTTTCATCAATCTGGTTTACAAACCTCAGAAACTCTTCCAGTTTTTCTCTTCCATGTGACCAAAGTGCGAATTAATCATCCAGGTATCGCACAAACACTGCCGGTTGTAGGGGTGCCATCTTGAAGTTCTCTTCAATTTTGTTCATATATACATTTGACAAAAGTGGTGAGAGCGGCGATTCCATGGGAAGTCAAAATATTTGTTCATAGATGTTCCCGTTGAATGTAAAATAGGATGTCTTTATTTTCAAGTTGATTAGTCTTGTTAAGGACTCCCTCCTGATCCGTTGTGATTCCAGGATATCTTCCTCTCGGTCCAGGATTTCCATTAGGGCCGTTAGTGCATTTTCTCCAGAGATATTTGTATACATGGATTCCACATCGAAACCTATCAATGAGTCCTTTGCTTCAAGTGCCATGTTTTTGATTTTTTTTAAAAATTCATGTGAGTGTTTCACTGTGTTTGATATCTTCTCATTTAATTTCTTGAGTTTCAAACATATAAACTTTGTTCATTCGTGTGTTACTCCATACTTGCTGTTGACTATCAGCCTTAGTGGCTCGCCTTTTTTATGTATCTTTGGTGATCCGTAGACTGTTGTTGGTCGCGCATCCTTTCTTATGATTGAATTTTTTGTCCATGCGTCAATTTCCCCGTTTCTATGCCTATCTTTCAGCATGTCACTTAAGATTTCTTTTATAAGGCCTTGAAAATATACAAGCTCTTATTATTGTAGCCAATGGCCGTTTATTAGGTAATAATATTAAAACAAAGTTTGTGCATTGTTTGCTTAGTTTCGTTTTTTCCTCATTTCTTTTATTGTATTTTTAATTCATATGTCGCCTTTCTGAATCTTAGCAACAGTGCCTCCATTACTTGTCTTGCTTAATCGACTCTATATTGTTTTATAGAAGTTGTTTGACCTTATTTTCGGAACTAGGTTATATTGGCAGGACGACCTAGAGGAACACTTTGTCTGGGGTCCATTGTATGCATGATAATTTCCAGAGTCGGACCGCTGACGTGCTACATTCCCAGATGTTTCGCCGGCATCGTCAGTGGGACTTGCCATTCTTAGCATCGCACTACAACTCGTCAAAGAGATAAGAGAAGTCGATCCTTTGATCAAATGTGTCCTAAACTGTTTTGGTATCTCACTTTCTCTCCTGTGCTATTCACCTATTCTCTATCCTCGTATCACCCCGTCAATATTACAATTTCTTACTTGTTTATCCAGACCTATTTGAAATCTATTCACTGTCCCCACTGGTTTCATCATCCCTCTAATTGTGCCGGGAGTGTTGATCCAAGGCTGCAGTCTAATCCACAATCCTCTCTCTTCGGGTCATATCAGAGTCCCTTCTCGCTCATTAGGATCCTTCCCTTATCTGCCTGTTTAAGTGGTTTCACTGCATCTCTGCCACCGTATCCGTGCTACTTTCTATGTGTTGTTCTACGCTCTGCCTCAAGCTTTTGATAGCACATATACACCACCCTCGCTGAGAAAGCCCCTAAAGTCTGGT